GCTGCTTCAACAGAACTACATCCATCACTTTTCAGGAGGACTGTAGCCACCATCTTATTGGTCTGCTACTGCCACCCTAACAGGGTGTCAGGTTGTATTTCTGACTCTGTCAGTTTAAACCAGTGGGCTGGTTTTTTTCCTGCTTTGTGTTATATATACATATATATATATATTAGTAAAGAACTGTTATTCCTATTCCCCATATCTTTGCCTGAAGGCCCCTCAATTTCAAAATTATAATAATTTGGAGGGAAGGGGGTTGCATTTTCCATTTCAAGGGAGGCTCCTGCCTTCCTCAGAAGACACCTGTCTTTCAAACCAAGACAGCAGGTCACACAGAAACGTGTCCAGGAGGGTTTTGAATGTCTCCAGAGAAGGAGACTCCACAACCTCTCTGGGCAGCCTGTTCCAGGGCTCTGCCACCCTCACAGAGAAAAAGTTTTTCCTTATGTTAATGTGGAACCTCCTGTGCTCCAGCTTGCACCCATTGCCCCTTGTCCTGTCATTGGCCATCACCGAGAAGAGCCCGGCTCCATCCTCCTGACACTCGCCCTTTACATATTCATAAGCATTGATGAGGTCACCCCTCAGTCTCCTCTTCTCCAAGCTCAAGGGTCCCAGCTCCCTCAGCCTTTCATCGTAAGGGAGATGTTCCAACCCCTTAATCATCTTAATCCCTTCTCTGGACAGCTGCCTGTGGAGCCTCCTCTCTTGCCTCAATGCCTCATTGCATCCACCTGCAGTCAGCCTTCTTTCCCCATGACTCGTGGAGCTAAACAAAGGAACTGAAGATGCCTCAAACTACCCCCGTGGGGTATTAGGGAACACAAACACACTACTAACATAAGGAGGCTACATCAGTAGGTACATTAAATTTACACTCATCTACAAATTCTCTCAATTTGAAAGATGATGGAATATCACTGGCATCCATAGTAGAAAAAGGCAAATGTAAGATTTCTGCTGTTTTCATTCATAATCACCAACCCAAAGTGCTTGGAGTTGGACTAGTCAGTCAGCTCAACCGCCCAGACAGATGTCACTAAACCAGTTAATCAGTTTTTCTTTCTTTCTAAGCATCAGGTTGAGCAGAGCATCTCCCTCAATTGGCTCCTCAATCACCTGTGCTAGGAAGCTGTCGTGAGTGTACTCCAGAAATGTCCTGGATTGTTTGTTCTTCACTGTATTGTCCCTCTATAAGATACCAGGGTGGTTAAAGCACCCCATGAGGACTAGAGCCTACAGAAGTGATGTTTCTTCCAGCTGTTTGAGGAAGACCCCATCTACTTCTTCCTGATCAGGCAGTCTGTACAGATACTGCCCCCCCCC